TATTATTATTATTATTATTATTATTATTATTATTATTATTATTATTATTATTATTATTATAAACATGTAACGCAACTTATCCGCGAGATAATAATGATCGGACTTCGGATATTCCGTATCGTTGCAACAGGAAACGTACAAAAAGAGCGACGATCGAGTTTGGTCGTTAACCTCTTACGCTTGGAATTGTACTTCCTCGAATTGATTGGTTACTCGGAAATCTCGCGGTCGAGCATGAATTGCCTCTTCGTATTTCGCTTATCAACCGGGCATCTTTTTCGAATTGTGCATGTATTATCTAGCACAATTGAATAAACGATTCGTTTTATTGTTTGACTATATAACATTGAAAAAAATAGGAGAAAAAGTAACGATGGAAGAATAATACATCGATAATTGTCATTCGTATACAAGTCAACAAAAAAAAAAAAAAAAGAAAAAAAAACGCGTAATAATTACGTTATCTCTTATCGTATGGCATAAAAAAATTTATACGAGCAACTTTTAAGAAACATGAAAATTAAATTACGCGATCTGTTATGGATGTTTGAATTAGCTACGTTACATAAAGGTTAAACGAGACTAATATGGAGGTCGTAACACTAGCGATGACAATCTTCTGAATTAACGTTCATTTCTATTTACCACACTTATAATAACTGATATTCATAATATTCACGGTAAGGGTAGTAGAACGATTTAACGATCTTCTTTAAATGTATCGAACATAACGAACGTAAATGTCAAGAGTATTTTCACTCATGATTTTCCAAAACTTCCAAACATCCAATAAAACATTGTCGCAAAAAGATATTTTGAAATTACTTTTGTGGCTTACAAAATAAATATATATTCTATTCAAAATGATATCTAACCCTATTAAAAACAAACAAATCAAATATTTCCTCCGCGTTACCTGCAAATGCTTGTCTCAAGGGCAAAATTAACTACCTTACGTTAATCCATCCGACATCCATCGAATTCTTACCGCTCTTTACCGCAACCGATTCCACTACGTATCCAAGATGTACACGATGTACATTGTACATATATCTATATAGATCTGTTAGAAACTCGTCGTCGATCTGCCGTAATTAATCGTATTCATCGGTCGGAAAGAGGCGTTCGTATATTCTCGATCTGGTCCCAGGCCAAGGCTGCTGGTCTCGCAACCCCGCATCGCAACCTCGGATGAAAGTGGAGCGGTGTGTGCGAGTCTGAGAGGGGCGTTAATCCCTGCGAACGGTACCATAGAAACGGTACCGGTGGGGTCGTTACGTGCGCCTGCAGACCACTCTACCGGGCTACTACACTCCGCCGGTACCAGATACACGGGCGGCGTGCGTGCGAGAGAGAGGCCACGATATAATCCAACCCAAGGCCCCCCTAAGAAAAGGGGAAGGTCTTCTTTGTCCCTCGGTCCCTCGGGCGAAGGACCGCGCGGCCAGATGTCGGCTCACGATCCTTGCGTCCGTCCGTCCACATGCGCTCTCACTCCATTCGTCTACTCACGCGCTTCCTTATCGGCGCGCGCATGTGTGAGTGCGTCCGTGTGCACGTATACCCTCCCACGTAGGCGTACGCACGCGTATGTCACTCCTCTCGTCCCGTCCACGCTCACGGGTATTGCGTATCCTTCGTGGGTATTTTTGGTGGCGGCCGGTTGCCTTGGTCGTATATAGGAGCACGCGCGTTCTCTCGAGGCTGCAGTCCTCGCCCTCTTTCCTTCATTCCTTCCTTCTTTCTTTGGTTGCTAGACGAGGGTGAGCCGAGCTTCTCGATTTTATCGTGCAATAATTATGCGATAAAATTGTTGAGAGAGGAGAAAAATTTTATTATGATTTTTAATAAATTTCTTTTCCTTTTTTTCTTCTTCGTAAATATACACGGTGTATATATCGACGGTAGTAAGTGCTTAACTTACCCTTCGGGCGAGAGATGATTCTTCGGGCGTGCGTACTGGTACCAGCTCGATGGTGGAGAGCATTTACCCGTGAGAGAGGAGAGCCTTTCTCGCTCGTCCCTTTCTCGTTAGTGTATAACGGATCTTTCCAGGAATTTTCTAGGTATATACCACGAGTTGGTGGTACGGTTCGCCGATCCAGCTTGCTTCCTTGCGCGGCCTTGAAGAGGTTTTTGGTACCTGAGACCATAGAAATGCTTTGTCTCGGAGGGATAAGACGTTGGGGATTCGCTTCGATGGGGATTTCAAAACCTTTCCAAAGCTTTTCAGAATATATCCTGTACATAATATTTTAAACAAAGCGGACCACCAATTCGTAATACCTTCTTTAAAGTCGTAAATAATTATTGTAATTCTACCGTAAAACTTTCGAGAAACTTTTCGAAAAATTGTTCGACACGTTCGCCCATTTTGATTTACGACTTGTCGGTCACTCCTTTGAAGGACCTTTCGAGAAAAAGGTAATTTTCCTATTTAAAGTCGATTCTTCCGGTTGGATAGAAAAATTCGAAAAAACACTAGCCCCAAGAATCTAGCCACCAAACACCTTTCCTTCCTGTATTGAAAACCAGATTGCAAAATTATACATACAGATCTCGTAGAAGAGAAAAATCGTCGATCGGTTCGATCTGTATCGCGTATCGTAAATTCGTGTGAAACTGGAAACTGTAGAGGATTGTTTGTTAAAGCTGTTAGAGCTCGAACGAGAGGAATTATAAGTATACTCCCTCGAGCATCCCCTTTAATTAGACCGTTTTAACCGGTTTCGGATAGAAGAAACGAAAGAAAATCTTTAAGTAAAATTTCTATAATATTTCAACGTTGCTTCTCGATAGCTGGAATGGGGAAGGAGTGGGGATAGATTCGGGGTAGCAAGTAGGCAGGCAGCCTTGTTGCCGGTTCCCAACGAATAAATCATTCCTCTTGAGCCGCGTCGTTTGACACGGAGGTGGCCATCTGCAGCCTCGAGTGAAAGATCTCTGTGCGTGTCAAGGTCGAAGGTTGAACGAATACAACAGGGTTGAAGCGCAATTATCATAGATTATTCGAGAGCGCATCCTCTCTCTCGTATCCTTCGGATATCTGGCAACAGGTAATAAATAAAATATCACCGATGCCACGTAATCTCTGCGATATCCTTGCCTCCTCCCCCCTCCCTCCCTCCCGTTTGTTGTACAGGCGAGATAGAAATCGAGAACGAAGACAGAGGCGTTATTATCATAAACACAACAGTCAGCGATTCTGTTGGAGGGGAGAGGGAATATGGAAGAGAGAGAGAGAGAGAGAGAGGGAAAAGAAAAATAAAAGAAAGAAAGAAAGAGAGGGAAAAAAAAATCTATTGTTAGATCTCGACTCCTCAGAGAGGAGTTAGTTTGGCGCGAGGAGAAGGTGACGTTTTCATTGGTCTTTGATCTTTGGTATCCTGGTAACGCAGCGATGACGTCATCCGGTGATCCAAGCCCGGTCGGTTACCATCCGTTACCACCATCGCGCAACACCAACCCTCGGGCG